AGAGAGAGAGAGAGAGAGAAGAGAAGAGAAGAGAAGAGAAGAGAAGAGAAGAGATTGCTTGTTCAGATGGATAGCTAGCTAAGGAAAAAGAACAAAAAGGGATTCCATTAAAACATAGACTATACTCCGTACTTACCTACCCTACTCTCCGGCTAACAGATCTGAGGTTTGAAGTGCAAATAACAAAAATGGATTTCAAGGATCGGTCCCCTGAGTTTATACAGCGAGTACAACTAATAGTGGGGACTTGGCGTCGCAGCTTTTGGGGTCAGTAGCTAGCTAACGTCGTCCCACCGGGAAAGTATAACTTCTTGTCATTTCACAAAGAGAGTTTTCTCGCACTTGACCAAAAACATCAGGACTTGGCTATGGCAAGAAAATTCCCTCCCAAGTACTGCAAGTATTTAGCCGGTATGATAAAATCGGACAGGGCCTTTCATCCATCCGGTACTTCCTACGTACTACGTACAGGGCCAAGCTGCATTTGTCTTGCCCTTCACTTAGTAGTATAGTACTTGGGTGGAATTTCAGGGTCTTTTTTCAGGGTCTGATTTCGTAGAAGCCGGAACCTTCCGCTGCCGAAAGATACCCAGCAGGAAAAGACCCGGGTTGACCACTGCTTCAATTCGCCTGTTCCGCGCGCCATTGACAGAGTTTTCGTCAAGCGAGCCATTAATGCATCGATCTGGAAGGGTCGCGTTTGTGTACTTAGAGAGGATTTGATACTTCAAATTGGTGGTGGCAGTGACAGAACCAGCTCTTGGTCCTGGTCCGCGGGCGAGGTGAAGTAAGGCAGTAAGTACCTAGTAGTAGCCCCGTTGACGCTGATACTCTCTGCTGCCTGCATTCATCCCGACATGGCACCCACATGAACGCCGTATATCGTGATGGCGGGTGCCCTGTCGACCTCGTCTCGAGTATTTTTATCCCATCTTGATGCACAGGCAAATGATCTATCTGTACGGTTTTCGGCGAGCCGAAACCGAAGATTCTGCGGGAGGATCAAGAGGCCGGATCAGAATGGTCATCATACTTCAGGGTTGGACTTCGGCAAGAGTTTAGTGGGGCTGGAGTACGAGTAGGTACAGTAAGGGTCATCGATAGCCTTCTGAATGGTCAACCCGTCCCGTCAATATGCGTGCCGAAATGTTCTATCCAAGTAGGACTCGTAGGGAGAGTCTGTAGCGTGATCTGATGGCTTCATGTGTTCGGAAAGGAACAGAAAAATTGCGCCATGCTCGCGAAGCTAGTTGTTGATCTTCACCTGGACGCGAACAGATTGCAGCTGATATGCGGTGAGGCAAAAAAGCGTGTGGCACACTGATGAGAAGTTCCTGTTCGGGAGCTGCCGAGCTAATCTAATAACTCCGTAAGCATATCAAATTCGGATCGCTCACCGAGAAATTTTCCGTGTTCTTGGCAAGTAACCTAGTACTATCCCCTAGAATTAAAGATTGACCCCCGTGGTTACAAGGATGTCCGAGGCCACTTACTACGTACTACTACTACGTAGTACGTAGTAAGTCCATTTGTTTCGAGCATGTAGAGGCGTTTCCTGGAGATTTCGATAGCCGGGATTTAGTGAACCTTAATTAACTAGTTGTACTTGCTAGTACCACTACGTACTAGGAGTAGCAGTAGCAGCCCTAATAGTACAGCTAGCTGGTAGTAGACAAGCTTCTAGGGCGATGGTGATTCGATTGATGAGGGTGGTGGATGACGTTTCCGCAAAGACGGTGAACGAGCGAGGATAAACATGGCTCGAGGTGTTTGTCATGGTGGCCGGAGTCGTCCAGCACAGAACAGCATTGAAGTTGGCGACCCTCAAGATAGAGAAGCATTTCTGAAATAGATAGCTTTCTGATTGACACCAGGATACGAGCAGCGCTCGTCTTCTCGGCCTATCGTTTTCAGTATGTTCCTCTGCATTCGTCTGCATTCGGAAAATCGTCGTCCGCCGTACGCTGATTGGGCGCCAAAGCTTGCTGGCCTTCCACGTGTATTTGATCCCGGGTCAAATTGTCCCATCCAGGTCGGACCAAGTTGTTGAAACACGGGGGCTCTCCCCTCTCATGCAGCATCATCGACCGGTCTCTCAAGATCTGGACCGATCTGTTATCGGCCCGCCAGGGCTTATCCCGATAAGTCGGCAGCCGCTTTACGGAGTATTCCCGGAAGCCATTATGGTTTCCCTGGGGGGGCCAGTTGTATGCCCTTGCGTTGAGACTCAAAGCCTTCTCTCGCCTTGGCATCATGGCGTTCTGCTGCAGGTTGATACTGGTCCCTCCTCTTGCTTCCTCCTCTTCATAAAGACATACCCATGGAGTTTAGTTTTAGTTTCTCTAGCAGTGCCCTGGAATCCCAAAAGCTACTCCTCTACCGTATATTGCATACTTAGGCCATATTCCGATGTCTGGTGAGGGATTTCCGACCACACATTGAGAAACCTTATTTCCTTGGTATCAAACTCCTCTGATTTCAACTGGCAGAGTGGAGCAGAGTGTCTCTGCGCTTGTGAGGAAGAGACTACCCAACCATCAGTCTTTGAGACGCAATCAGTTGGACGACTTAGGGGTTGGTGAGTTCAGATTGTCGCGGGTATTCGTCTCGCGTGTAGCAGAAATGAGTTCCGTATACCTGGATCGTACTCCGTACCTGGGCGGTGAATGGAGGAGGCTGTGGGACTCTGGACCAAGGCTACTAGTAGATTCATTATTCGACGTCTGGTGGGTGGCATTGATGACATCGATCGAGGAGTGAAGAAAGAGTTCGCCAAACTGGTTAAGAAGTGTACCGCCACCGCCACCGCCAATGCGTAAAGCAGCGACACTACCTCACCGATCAGTAGGTACTTGGAGGTGCAGTGTATCTTTTGCGTGCTCGTTCGTTTGTTCGTTCGTTGGTTCGTTTGTTGGTTCGTTCGTTGGTTCGGATCACTCACCGTTGCTCTGCCGATGAATGCTGGATTAGAAATGGATGGTGGTATGATGGTGGAATCGTTGGTTGATGTCGATCGCATCGCGGACGGAGAGAGCAGAGACAAGCCACTCACTCTACTGGCTCGCTTATAGGCGACGGGCCTTCCATGATCCGATCTAGCGTAAACCTTATTCCATCCTCATCGCCTTGCTCAGCCAATGGCGGGCGCCTTCGGACCAGATTGTGGGGAAGAGGGTGGGGACATCTCTTGGCCATCATGGGTGCATTATAAATTACAACTAATTACAGCTACTAACTTCTAGTTTGTGCTACTGCCTGCTATTGATACTACCATATACGGTAAACTATAAACTTTAAACTGCCAAACTTCGTCCGTCCTCGACCATTCCTGTGCGTACCAGGAGTGAAACTCAAATCTGAACCCAAACCAAACCTTCCTACGTAGGTAGTTAGGTACCTACGTAGTAAGTAGTAGTACTACAGTACAGAGTACGGTACGGAAAGTAGCCCAGCCTAGCCCAGCTCAGCCCAGACCAGCCCCCCGCCTCCAAGCCCACCACCACCTCCACCACCACCTCCACCACCTCCACCACCTCCACCACCTCCACCACCTCCACCACCTCCACCAGCTCCACCAAGCTCCACCACCACCTGATTTATTCAACCTCCAGGATCCGAGGCCCAAGAGAACGAGATTCACTTTGCTGATCCCCGAAGAAGAACCACCCATCCACCCATCCACCCATTCATCCACCCATCCGCCCAGCACCCACCAACCACACCCCCATACTGCCGGTCTAAGTTCACCTCGACCGGCCTGAATCATGTCCCCGACATGTGCCAGGCATCCCGCTGCTGCCGTTCCATCAATATCAAAGCGATGGCCCGTGTCCGGACCTAGCACCTGTGGCAAGTATATATCCACACCCGCCAGTCTCGACTTTCTGAACCCGTTCCCCGCATATCTCTCTCACCACATCCCCCTACTCCCCCTCCCCCCCCCCCCCAAGCCCAAGACCAACTAACTACCTCATTAACCCACTTCTCCCTGCTCCCGCAATTCTGGCTTGGGATCCATTCATCCTGCCCACAGCACGCCTCAGCTGTGGAACACTTCCCGACTACCGTGCAACAGCAGCAGGCTAGCCAGCAGCAAGACGACCTCCAATCACAATCCTCCGTCCCAAATCACCTCAGTGCCGTGGCATATCAGTGCCATGGCCAGTATCAATACAACGGTGTCGATGACCAGCGCCAGCACCAATTCCAATAGCCCCATTCCGACGGATGTGGAGGAGCCCCGGAAGAAAGGTCGGTGGTGTCCAGTCCTGACAGACCAACACGCCAACTGACCACATAGTCGCAGGCTCCCGTGGGGGAAAGAGATCAGTCACCCATCTGAGCAAAGCCCAGCTGGCGCGGAAGCGCGCCAACGATCGCGAAGCACAGAGGAATATCCGGCAGCGGACAAAGGAGCATATCGAGAACTTGGAGAGGAAGGTCAAGGAATTGGAGCAGGGCGGGCGGTCTGGCAGTATTGAGAGGGTGCTGAAGCGGAACCGGGAATTGGAGGATGAGGTCGAAAGGCTCAGGTCGATGGTCAACGGACACCACACGCCAGTCATCGCGGCTCACGCCGACATACCAGAGATATTGACCCCCCAGAAGGGCTCGCTCGAATGGATGCCAGAATCCGCCTCCGGAGCCTGGGCTCATCCAGTGTCACACGTATCCTCTCTCAATCCGCACGCGGAAATCCCGGCCTCCAACGCGGCATACCCGACCACCACAGCGCAGGCATACCCGGCAACCACCACAACAACCATGGGCTACAACGAGGAAGGCGCTCACCAGATCTACCCTCCCACCGAATCCTGGGGAAGCCCAACCCACTATGCGCCCCCAACGCAGGCCATCCAAAAGTCGGCCCAAGCCTGGTCACCCGTCGACTCCAGCTTCTCCCAACCCTCCCGCTTTCCAGATATGCAGATGACAGGATTCAACGAGGTGGTTAATCAGCAGAACTTTAGCTCTCCAACATGTTGGCAAAATCAGCCGTCGATCTATTCTTTCCAGATGTCCACGAAGCTCAAGTCCCCCGTCACGTACCTGGACCAATTGATTTTCAGTGTGATCCAGTCCCATAGGCACCTACACTCCACGTCTGCGCTATCGGGAGATGAACTACTCGGCCCTGCCCTCCCCTCCGTTCATATCCTTTTCAACCAGCCCGGACCAGCGGAGAAGCAGCCGCCTGATATCGTCCAGGTCATGGAAAAGTATTCCGCTGTCATCGCCAACCGTGGCTTCCCGCTCATTCCAGAGAAGCTGGCCTCTTTTCTGTGCATGTACCGCTTCATTCAATTTCAAATTTTGCCTACGTACGAGACCTTTCAGATGCTGCACGAATGGCAAGCGCCCCGCCCTTCTCAGCTCAAGACGTTACACCCGGCATGGATGGACCTGCCTCCTTGTAAGTTCAACGTTTTCTTAGCGTTATGTTTCTCGTCTACGATTTATCCGGCCTCCAACTTGACGGAAAAGCTTTTTCTGACTGCGCGTGGCAGGGGGGAAATTCCGGGACAAGATCATTGAGAACCAGGGGAAGTATGACACACCCGAGTTCCAACACGACTACGCCCTCGGTCTGTCCATCAACTTCCCCATGGACCCGATGAAGGCGCTCATCTTCGATAATGGCAAGATCATGATCAGTCCTGTTCTGAATAATCATTTGAGCGATATTAACAACGTCACCATGAGCAAGGCGTTTGGGGACAAGTACCCGGAGTTTCGGGATTGCTGCCGCATCACGGAAGTATGAGAACGACGGACCTGGTTCTGAAGAGATGGGCCAGGTTGACCCTTACGAAGACATGACTCGTGCTGTTTTAATATCCGGCTTTTGATTTGGCTCGAACGCGGCGTTGCGTTTTGGCAGGCGTTTCGGAGGGCCGGACGAATCGTGGCGCACGTTTTCTTTTTTAGTTTTAGGATACCAGATGGAATTTTTGTTGTGGTCTTTTGTGTGTGTCGCGAACTGAGCTGGGACAGCTCCGGCGTTTTGAAACAGCAGCGTGCATGGAGGGATCGAAACCTCCAGGCCTGTCGGGCGTTTGGGTCTGCAACGGACATGGCTGCTTGTAGCCTGCCGTGGAGTTCTTTTACGAAAAAGATCATGTTTTAATTATTATTCTATCTATCTTCAGCCGGGTCGAGCTGTAGTAGGCTTTTCCGAGCCGTCTATAACGTATATACATTTATATTTACATATATACACATATACCTATACATATACATACACATACATATATATATGCAAAGCCCACTCTTTTTCTTTTTCTTTTCTTTTTCTTTCTTTCTCACGCGGCTCCTTCCTCATGTTGCATTCTATTCTATTCATGGCATACATACATACATACACATCCTTCCTTCCTTCCCATCATCAGCACCTCACAATATCCCCTCACTCACTCACTCCTCCGCCCGCGGCTCGCACCATCGAGTCGATCGCCTACCTACCGGTAGATCTACCAGGTACCCTCCCCCATCACCACTCTTCTCTCCTTACTCAGCATACATACATACTAGGTATACTATTCTCACACCATATTTCGCTTCCGTTCCCGGGCCATCCAATCCAATCCAATCAATCGGGCCGGGCCGGACCGTTTCTCCTCCGGAAACCCGCGCGAGCTGGAGCTAGGTTTTTGGTGGGTGGGTGGGTAGGTGAGTAGGTGCGTAGGTGGATAGGTAAGGTCTTCCCTCTTTTTTTCTAACTAACGAACTCTCTTTTTTTTTTTGGTTCCCTTTTGTCGTTTTGATG